AACACATTGAATCAAAAAATTTATTGGGGACTAACCTAAAAAAAAATCGTACAGGAGAACTAAAAAATTTCGACCGTTTGAGAGTGGTTTCACTTCCAATTCTGTGACTACCAAACTTACTACGAAAGCCTCTAGACGCATTTGTGTAATTTTTTCTCAAGCTCACTCATTTTGGAGAATATGAACTAGACCCCGAAGTATCCCAACAGAATTTGCCAGGCTCCAAGTTTTAATTTATAGCACACCGATCCCTGGTGACCAAGTGGAGAAGGAAATATAGGGGAAACGTTTTCACCTATTCCCATTTGTCACCCTGTACGTAGGGCCTTCGGAGAAATTGAGCTGATCCTTGACGTACTTCATTAGCTTGGCAAGGCAAACAGTAGCTGTAAGCTCTAAATCTTGTTATTGTCAGCCCCTTGAGTGGGGCTGTTTTCGTTTTTGAGCAGACCAACGAGATCCGAGGCTCACCATCTCTATTGAAGGCCTTGAAATAGACAACAGCTGTCATCGCAAGATTACAGGTATCTGAGAATCCATGAATTTCGATCGAAGAATTATGGAGTAGTCCTAGCCATCTTGGCACAGATAGCTTCGAGAGCAGAGGAAGATCATTGCGAAAACTTATCCAACGCTGAGCTACCTGTTCTGGAACTTCTTCATCCCAGCCGAGCTTATCAAGCCCAGTCCCCTGCATAAGCAGTTTCACTCTGATCACGACAGGAGATAGAAATCCGAGCGGGTCATAGATCTGCGCTATCTCTGAGAGAATGTTTCGCTTAGAGACTTTTGATTCATCGCGGGTTCGAGTTGAAGAGACGAAGTTATCTGAGCTGGGCTGCCACGATAAGCCAAAAATCCGGGTGTCCGAATCCTCATAAATTCGCTGGCCATCGGAGGTACAGTCGGGATCGAGCCACTGGAGTAGCGCTGGAATGTTACTATACTATTTTGCCAGAGGCATTCCTCCAGCAGCACAGAGATCACGCACCTGAAGAGCGGTTTCTATGAGCTCGTTATGTGAGTCTACACCTCCACATATATCGTCGACATATCTACCAGTTACGATCGGCGAGACGGCCAATGGGAATCTATGTCCTTCATCCTCAGCAAGTTGAAGAACACGATTCGCTAGGAATGGAGCGGATCTAGTGCCATAAGTAATGGTGGTCAGTTGACATGTCGCGATTTCTCCACGTGAGTTGGTTCATAGAACCTGCTGCAGGGGCCAGTCATCTTCATGGACTCTGATCTGACGGAACATCTTGGTAATGTCCTACATGAAGATGAGGGCAGGTAGTAACTCCCCTGATTGTCAGACGGGCCTACCTGTGGCTCCTCGGAGACCCTCAACCTTCCTGAAGCTTGCGCTTCATGTGTTAAATTCATCTCGGCAGAACAACAGGCGGATTCCGCCTGAACCGAAGACGATTGACTAAAGTTAGAGTGAGTTAGTAGCCTCATGTGGTCGAAATCTGCATATTCTCTGAGGAATGCAGAGTAGAGCTCGAGAAAGCGCTGATCTTTTAAGATTCTTCGGAGGATCCGATGCAAACAAGCTAAAGCTGAACGATACGAGCGATCTAATAACAAAACTGGAGCGTAGAGGGACAAACGAACGATGTGACGACCTGAGCTGTCACTTGAGTACGTCTGACGAAAGTACTGTTTGTACTTCAACTCTTCTTCTGAGAGGTTCGAGTCCCTCCGCCCAGGGATTTCCTGCTGAACCCAAAACTGAGTGAGAAGGTCATAGAGCTCTTCATTCGACATGCTGACGTGGTGCATAGAGCAAGTGATCTTTTGATTCTATCCCGTTGGTCCAAAAACCATCCAGACAAAGCTGGTTAGCTGAGCAACTGGAGCCTGCTCTCCTTCAATTACGCTGGGCTTAATAAGTGATCCAAAAAGGTCAGCTCCGATGAGAACATCTACTGGAGCAGAAACTCGAAAATGAGGATCAGCGAGCTGTAAATCATCGAGATGTTCCCACTCGAGATCCTCTGCTGAGAAGGTCGGCAGCGTCGACGTGAGATGATCAAGTACTTGAGCCGAGACATGAAAGCGTTCGACAGAGTGAATCGATTGAAGCGTGAGATGTACTTCGCCGGACGTTGTCCTAAACGATGATTCACCCACTCCTGAAATGTGGATGGAACAACGCAGTTTCTTCAATTTCAACTTTCGAACGAGTTTATTTGAGATGGGGGATAGCTCTGAGCGTGGATCCAATAAGACTCTGACTTGATGCGGAAGGCAAGAGTAGCTATCGACAAGAGCTAAACTGAGTGCGAGAAGGACTCCAGGCCGAGAAGTTGGAGCAGAGCAACTGTGAGCTGGGCAAGAGATCGCCCTTTGGGAACCTGCGCCTCATTATTGTGGCGGAGTTGAATACATAGCTTGCGTAGAATCACCTGTGTGGGTGTAAGTTGCAATAGGTACACTGCTCACTGGGGCAGAACTACTCCCCTGTTATTGGTTCCTTGAACCTCCGGAAGTAGCTTGCTGCGAAGCAGAACCACGTTGAGCTGGGCGACGAGAACGATCCAGGTGCAGCAGGGTGTGATGCCTCTTTTGGCATAGGAGGCACGTGCGAGTCGCCTAGCACACCCTGATGCTGTGCCTCCCCAGGGATTTAAAGTACAGATAGAGACGGTCCACGACTTCCTTTCTATTAGCTAGCGAGAGGTTCCCAAACTGATTGCAAGAGGCAATATAATGGTCCCCCTTGCAATACGAACAAGGATCCCTGCCCATCTCAGCCCACAATTGCGTTGAAGTGGACTGTAATTTTCGAGCTGGACCTTGAAACTGGCGGCTGGTGAACTGATCGATTGGAAGTCACCGCGTTGACCTTGCCGCTGGATTTGGACGCAGGACGAGATTGTGCGCTGGGCTGTGAGGATTCCGTCGAGCTTGAGTTGAGAAAACCAGACCCAACTTTCAGAGTTTCCATTACCCTGGAACGACCTTGCAGAAACTCTGTCTGCTTATTGAGTCTAGTACACTCGGTCGATACACCAATATCTCCGTATGATACAAGTGTATTCTTTGCTAATTGTGGAAAGATAACCAGAGGTATTCGCAAAATAAAACTGATGAATGTTTCAAAAGTGGTAGTGATAAAAGCAGCTTCGTGGTCGTCGAACGAGAGATCAAAACGAAAAATGAAAAATCTGTCCCAAAAAATGTTCCCAACACTCAAATAACTCTCTGCGATAAAAAATGCAAAGTTATTAGCGCAATATTCCGTGACTAGAAGCGTGTTACGATTGAAAAGAACTGACTGAATCGAAGTCCATGACACAGTAATACAAAAAACACGATAGTCTAGAAACTCAAAAAATATTTATGATTTTTTTACAAACAACTTAGAGAGAGATGACCCTTGCAATGAAGTTTATTTTTCCCAAAAATCATGAATGGATATAATGGTGGTAACTTCTCAAAAAAAATCTAAAATCTTATACAGAAATAAAAAAAAAATATTTTTGTTATGGAGAAAAGTGTGCCATGACTGAATGCGTGTATGTATTGAATAGAAAAGTAAGACTACATAAATGGAACCAATCGAGACGACAAAACGCCAAGAGTTGTTTATGAACTACCAGAATACGATATGATTAGAAGTTGTGAAAAAAACAGCTACCATAATTGATTCGGCGAACGTACATGACGTGTTCAGACCATAATTCATTATAAATTAAACTCTTTATCATAAACAGAACTTTATATAAATTCTGATTGTCATAGGATCTTCCTGATGTCTGACTTTCATTTTACACTGCTCCCCCAGTTTGGGAATGTCTACTGATGTAAAACAGTGCCATTTTCATTGAAGTTCTTTCAGATCCACATGAATCCAGAGAGAATCAAGTTTCAGTTTTCATGGTGCTTTCCTGGGGACAAAGGATTTTTCATTAGTAATGAGGAAGAACATCATTCGCAGGGACCGGCCAAGTTCGTTCGCCAAAACAATTGTGGTAGCAGATTTTTTTCAAGATTTCTAATCATGTCGTATTGTATTAGATCATGAACAAATTTTAGCGTTTTGTCTTTTTGATTGGTTTAATTTTTGTAGCCTTACTTTTTTATTCAACACATACACGTATACAGACCTGGCACACTTTTTTTCGCAAAAAAATGTTTTTTTGGGGGTTTTTATACAAGATTACTTATTCTATGAAATTTCAGTCCTAGTATGGTGACTGCCGTCATTTTTCGAATTTGACGCTCTTTTATTCCACGAGAGATTTCTGTAAAATTATGGGACGCTCTATAGACCATGTGAGCATGTGTATGTTAACACTCAATGTGAGTACAGACCTTTCCTTCCCTTCGGCCTGTAAACTTGACATTCATTAAAAACGGAACTCCGGTTCTCGTGCTTTAATGTACTATTATGTCTGTAAATTTTTCATCAATTATGGCGGATTTTTTTTGAATATCATTTCCCGTTCATGTTTCTAGGCCATTCTTATCATATTGACTACGCAAGCGGATTATTTTATGGTGAATACTTCATTGTAACATTCATACACGGTCGTTTCTATTAATTAAATGTAAACTAATTGAGTGGAATCGCATTGGACACATCAAGAAGTTCGTTATTCTTTAATACATAATTTCATATGGAGTGTAGCACTGCATGGTAAATACTATATATTTCAAGATCTTGAATTACATTTAATACACGAAAGCCTTAAAGAGCATAGGATGCCTTGTACCAGCTTTTCACAACACATATATTATATATACGGTGTGCGGTGTGCGGCGTGTACGGTGAGGTATGTCTTATTATACATATATTATATGGTATATTTTTTATATATATAATTATTGCGAGATCTTTCCAACGAATCACACTGAGAGAATTAATCAAGATTACAATCATTTAATTTCCTCATTTCCAAAATGGGTCTGTCAACATTTTCTCTTACATTCTTCCATTCTCGACATGAACACTTAATACAGAAAAAAATTTATAACAAAACTTTTATTCATGTCGTGTACTGAAACAGCAGCGCTGAAGGAGTTCTAATCGGAATCAGTCGTTTGTCTCCTTTGGGTGCAGTAATTACCCAGTAATCTCTTCCATTGATATAAGTTTTCCGCGCAGATGCGGCGGCTCCATAAATACTTTCATCAATCAGTGAAATCTGCTCAACTTGCGGGTGACGATTGCTATTGTTGTGGTTCGAATCATTATTGAAGTTGTGATTAATAGTGTGACGAATTGTGCTCTCTTTTTCCACGTAGTTGTTTTCACTTTGTAATACCACTGGAGGCGGAAGTATTGGATCATCTGGAGTCTCTATCCCAGGCCAGCAGAAGGAACAACTTTTCCCACAACAAAGACAGGAGACATGTTGTCTGCGCCTGATCATTTCATAGATGAACATGATGCATGCAGATATAAATCCGGCAGCGATTACTTTGTATGTCAAAGTCAAGTCTGAATTTTTCAGCTGTCGCTCGGTACTTTTCAGGTTTAAGGGACAATATTCCACTTTGGGAAGGTTCCTCTTCTCTAAATACTTGATTATTCCAACTTCTATCAGAATTTGCAGTCTGAAATGATTAAAAAAATGCAGCATTTTATTTTTTATGAAACACTACTCGTCAATCGACAATGTCATATTTGATACAATACATTTTCAGTCATTAAATCAAGAGTTTTACATGTCTTGAATTAGGAAGAGGGAAGAGTCAAATAAAATGGATAATTAAAATTTTGGCTTTCGAATGGAAGCTCCGTAATCTTTCAAGTTAAACTTTTCAATTTTTGGTATTGAGGTAAATAACTATAGTTCCAAAAGTGGGAGTGTAATTTGTTAATGGAATCTATATGCATGCATGCATCTGATTCTGTAGATGTGTGATGAACTTCTCGAATAATTTATTCTCAAAAATGATTCATTTTTCTCTGCAATGTCGTCTGGTTCAAAAACTGACAGAATGCCAGAAACCCTTGGAGACTCTTTCGCCGTAATACTCAATTGTCCAGTCTTTATGATAGGAAATTCTCCGAGAACATATCAGGTTCACACAGAAAAATTTGATATCTTTAACTGACTTTTTATTCAAGAAAAATTCAAAATTCAGAACCAAAATTCAAAAATAAAAAATGCAAAAGCTTATTCATAATGGCAGTTTCTCAGACGAAATTATTACTATTGATTTCTATTCTTCACAACGAATGTCAAATTATCATTATATTTGGATTCAAAAAATTTCGAAGATATTGAATTTGTTTGTTTCTTCGGAATGGAAATTATGTTGTTTCCTTCCAGGTTCGAGTTAATAATGAATTAATGAATTAACTAATTAATTCACCGGGTTTCCATCGAGGTATTCTAAAATAATTATGACAAAATTTCCATAAGGTTTTTGTTCATATTCCAACTGATTTTATTCGGTTAAAATTTCGATTAATTCCTGTTGTCTTTCTTTCCATTCTATAACACCATCCTTCAGAGCATCGTCAAATTATTTAATTATCCAAACTGACCATATTTTAATTTTAAGATACCAAATGAAATTTCTGTAATCTATTGAAGTGGAAGAGAGACGGATCGGACCCAGCAATAACTGTGTCGCAAAAAGTGAATTTCCGATGATGCGTTATTATACTGAAAGTTTACCTCCCAACATGACACTATAGGAGAATTTTCTCCACTTGCAAAGATACGAGCAGAACAACGTATTTATTCCAAAGAGAGATTAATTTCTTTCTTCAAAATGGCTCGATTGCCTGACCATCACTAAAAAAAATTTACCTGGAGATGACAACGCATATACCGCGAGATGGTGACGACATTGCATCGGTACTCGTATCTAGTTTCATCGCTCAGCGACTCTTAATACTTTATAGTGGAATACTTTGACGCGTGGATGGGGCGTGCGACCATGCGTAGCCTCACGGAGAATTGAGGAACTCGGAATTCGAGATTATGAATGCCCGGTGTGTCCGACCAACTGTTCTGTTTCCACTTTCGTAAATACTTTTTCATTAATTCTTTAAGGCGTCTCCAGTCATTAATTCTTGATAATAAATTTTTTTTTAATATGTGTGTGTGAGAGTACCCTCACAGTTGTGTTTTTTTTAGAATTAGAATTAGAATATGCGCGGCTGGTCACTTGAAGCGCCCAGAGTCACCTAAATCATACGATCTTTTGTAACATCCGCCTTAGTTTCGATCAGTCACACAGCCCCAGCCCTGTGTTTCTCACTAGGCTAATAAGGCTGGTGACAGCCGCTTGTTGTAAGACCTCTGGTTCCAGGAAAGCCTGGCCCCCGATTTTATAGCGACGGAGTGCTAATAGAGGGCATTCACATAAAATGTGGATGACGCCCTCCTTATCGCCTCCGCACAGTCTAGTCTGCATCCCAGCTAATAGCCTGACTAGAGTAGCCGAGGCTGCTTTGCTATGATGCAAATTTATCTGTACAATGTGCACCCGAGTTGCAGCCATAATGATGACTACTTTCATGGTACCTCTATGTACCCTTCTTCTGACTTTCACTACGGTCTTTCGCAAGCAGCATGACAGTTGCTTTTTGAATCCCGCAGTGCAGCCTGAAGTTGCACGCTTTCAGAACAGAGAGTGATCGGTCGTCTATCAGCGCAACGAAGTGGACACTTTTCGCGTCCCTGTTATCACTGCCCCGTGCGTCAACCCACTCTCTGGCCTGCAGTCCTGCATTCTGTTTCTCAAGGAAGCACAGTGCTTCTTGAGCGGTTAGATCTGGGACTTCCATGTGTACCACAACCCTGTGCTTCCTGGAAAGCTCCAAGGCTGCGACCACATGTACAGTAAGCCCAGCTATTTTGTTTTCGGGGAAAAGGCTTTTCAGCCAATTTACCAATTCCTCATCAGTGCAGTACACCATTGCCACACCTTCTCTTTCGCAGACACCGTTGAAGGTGGGTGCTTTCACCCCGTCAGNCTCTCACTGCCCCGAGCCACAACCCACTCTCTGGCCTGCAGTCCTGCATTCTGTTTCTCAAGGAAGCACAGTGCTTCTTGAGCGGTTAGATCTGGGACTTCCATGTGTACCACAACCCTGTGCTTCCTGGAAAGCTCCAAGGCTGCGACCACATGTACAGTAAGCCCAGCTATTTTGTTTTCGGGGAAAAGGCTTTTCAGCCAATTTACCAATTCCTCATCAGTGCAGTACACCATTGCCACACCTTCTCTTTCGCAGACACCGTTGAAGGTGGGTGCTTTCACCCCGTCAGGTAACGCCAAAATGGTCCCCTTCAGGATTTTTTTGACCTCCGTTAACTCTTCAGCCCAGTTTCTGATCCGGATATGACTTCGGCATAACTGCAAACTTGAATGAGCTCACAGTATTCGGAGGATATGTGCCCTGAAGCTGCGTTCTCATTCTCTTGTCTTTTGGTCTCACTGAGGGGCTTGGCGTGGTACGCTCCGATGGAAGGCGTTTTATTGCTTTCCTCACAGCCCCCTCCCCCTGCCCGTCGTCAACCTTCGCTGCTGCATCCGCCAAGGTTGCAATTGCCGCCGAGGTTTGATGCAGCTTCGCTCTCTTGCGACGTCTTCTCTCGGCTGCACTCAGTTTGACCCGATTCACATCGGCACCAGACTGGTCAGCCTTATCAGACTTCGTGTGTTCGCCATCGCCGGCCCCACACGAAGCTCATTTTTCAATATTGAGATTTTTTTAGATTGGTTTCCATTTTTGGTCCCACGAGTGCCGCGGTTAAGCGTTTTCACCTGGGGCATTCCCGCGATTGCCCAGGGCTTGGCTTGTATCGGGAGAGTTACATCCAAGACTACTCTCAGAGGTCGCCCAGGTTTCTGAGAGGCACCGTTAGCGACACAGCTCCCCCTGTGCTACGCATCCTTAGGCACGGTATGGCCGAGGCCATGGCTTACGCCGCTCACACACATGGATTAGGTGGGTTCCTCTTAGCGACCGGGGGCAGCGGTAGCCCTTAAGACCCCCACCGCCCACGACCGAGCCCCCTCACTAAAGACAAAGTGGGAACAAAGTGGAGGGGGCACAGTTGTGTTAATTGATTAAAAATTTCGCTACAAATATTCCATGGACTTTCCTCAATTTTCTGTACAATATGGACTTCATTGTGCGCTATTCATGTAGATCATGTAGAATTAAATTTATCGCAGAGTTTGGGAGATATTTTTATTGATAGTGGTATTCATACCAAGAGCTATATATCAAACCAGATATTCATAGGGATAATAGGGAAATAAAATCACAACATCTAATAATTCAATCATAGAGGGACGGTTTGCTAAATATTTCAGTTTCATCAGGATCTGAAAAACAATGAATAAACCTAAAGCCATGAAAACGATAGTGTCATTTAAAAAAAAATGCATTTTTAACTAACATTTAGAAAATAACAGAATCCGACACAACTTCAATACATTTTTGCGTAGAAATTCAACGACACTCACTGGGAAGAATTTTTCTCTCAGGTTACGAATCTTGGCGGTCAGTTGCTCCAAAATCTCATTGTTGTGGAAGAAAATAATCATCATGGCGAATCAATTAGAAGTTGCATTGCCTCGAGGAATTCAAATTACCGAACTTTGAGGATCATCCGTCTGGAATAGACTCTCTCTTTCTCTCTCTATCTCTCTCTGTCTCTCTGTCTCTGTCTCTCTCTCTCTGTCTCTCTCTCT